AGGGACTTGATTTTGGCGAGTTTGGCGGGGAAGACTGTTTCTGGGAGGACGACGGTGAGGGAGCGGTTTAGGGCGTGAGCTGCGTGGGCGGCGCCGATGCCGTGGTTTCCCGAGGATGCTGTGATGAGCTTTTGGTTGTTGTTATGAGAGTCGGAGTCGGTGGCTTGGGATGCGGAGATTTTGGAGGTTGCGCCGCGGAGTTTAAAGGAGCCTGTGAGTTGAAAGTTTTCTGCTTTGAAGAGGACGCGGGCGTTGGTGTCGCGGCCTGTTGTGCGGGCTGGGAGGAGGGGGGTTGTGTAGATGTGGGAGGCGATGCGGGACCTGGCTTGGACTGCGCTGGCTGCTACTTCGTGGATTGAGAGGGTCATGGTGGTGTGTGGTGATGGAGATTTCGAATTTGAGCGATTGGAAATGTTGGACCACGGTAGTATGGTACTGTAGACCGAGCTGAAGATGTAAAACCAAACCCGGTTGTAGACGATGTATCTACGCAAGCACTTTATAGAACTCTCTGAGGACGTCTTGGAGATGTACGAATCAGGGACTACGGGACTTTGGATCTGTCAAGGTACTCCGTACGCCCTGTTGATGACGGACGACCCACTCAAAAGGCTGCATTCCTGATTGGCTTGAGTGCCATTTACCGTTTAGTGATGCAAGGCGCCGGATCCTTCCGACTAAAGTACCAGCACCGTCTGCAGTGTAACGATGGCTCGGAACCGGGCCGGACTTGTCGATGCTAGAGTGCGACTTGGGTCGGCAACGGCGGGACCCACAATGCCGTTAGATGTATCCACTAACGCCGTCCCAGGACCCGGGAACCCGGATGAACCCCGGATCGGATCCGGAGCAATCTGGGCTATTGATAAGGCAGGGCACTTTGAGATAAGGTTCCTTGGACCCTGAGCTCGTGCCATTTCTCGGCCGAAATCGGATTCAGCATTTACTGTCATGCAAAAAACAAGATGCATATTTGAACGGCACAATTACAATGAGGCGTCATTTCGCTACCTTATGATTGAATCCCATCACCGCTCATTCTGGCCTGGCTGTTTTCGCAAATTGTCATTGTTTGATTGGCTCAACGTGGCCATCATCATTTCAAGACGCAACATGGATAGGTCCTGTTGAACGCCCGGGCTATCTAAACCCACAACCCGGAAGGGTGAAATTGGATGGTTAGGTTCTACGGTCTACCGTTCTGTGCAACGCTGTGTGTGGCTGGCTATCAAAGTCTCAACCAAGATCTGGGGAATGTCGAGACCTTGGAGGATTGGACGGTCTAGAAAGGCCAGAAGAGCCACCCATACGATATACCGTATACCCCTCCGGCCTCCGGGCGGTGAAGACTTTTTTTCGTGAATTCTTTCCTGACAGTTGGTGACTTCGTGGCCTCAACTGACTTGGCGGTGCATTGCCCGCAGGGGTCCTTGGGATTGTCAGGGCCACTTCAGCCAGTTGTGTGCGACGTTGCCCTCTTTTATCAGCGCCCCTGCATAAAATTGCCCACAAAAGCGGACCCAGCGGCGTCCGAGAAACACACAATGCGGTTAGGCCAAGACAGAAACGCTGCTAGAAGCCAAGTAAACCACCCCGTTACCACCCCCCGTAGGCCCCCGTAGCCCCCCCCCCCCGAAAAGGGCCCAGGGCCCCCCCCAAATTCTGTTGGTGGTCGCGACCCGCGTCGGAAACAGCTCCAGCTTTAAATCTGTCCACACCTTTTCCACAGGCGGTGTCTCCAACTACATCTCCAACCACCTTTCCTCCTTTGTATCCCGATACGCGGTTAGGAAACGAAGCTGCGCGCAACAAAGATCGAAACCGCGGAGCTTTCCTTTCTAACATAAGCACCATCAGCTTACATCGTCCATCATGGCTGACGAAAAGCGCAAGGACGGCGCGCAGCTTGAGGGTGACATCACCTTCATCGCGACCCCTGCCGCGAAGCCCTCCACGTTCAGCACTGGCGAGGACTGCGGTGTCAAGACCACCAACGTAAGGACTTTCTACCAAAACCCCTATCTCGTGTATTGGCTCAATCGACTGTGAACAATCACAGACAAGCTCAATTGTCTTTGTCTCCCTGCGTCCATGACCCAAAGCTGACCTTCTCCTGTCCAGTACCCCACCATCAACAACCCTCCTCTGCCTGCCGAGGGCCCCGGCAATGAATCCTTCTCCAACTGGATCCTCGGAGCTGTCCTCGCCGGTGTCCCTCTCTGGGTCACCCGCATCTTCGGCGGCGGTCTCAAGACCTTCATCTTCTTCTTCATCCTCTTCGTCGTCCCCCTCCTGATCGCCTTCTGGACCGTCTCCTCGAGGTTCTCTCCCCGCATCAACGACAAGGCCAAGCTCCCCGGCCGCCCCGTCGAGCACTACCTCACCTTCAAGAACGAGGAGGACCGCAAGCAGTACAGCGGCCGCAACAAGATCCCCATTCAGACTTTCGCTGAGCTCTACACCGAGGGCCTCGTCGACATCAACGGCGACCTCCTCGACGCCCTCGAGTACCGCCACGACTGGTCCAACTTTGCCTTCACCTACTCCCTGTTCCGCTTCATCTTCCTCGAGTTCGCTCCCGATGTCATCTTCCACTCCCGCCAGCAGGATGAGGACCAGATCAAGCCCACCTACGACAAGGGTAACGACCACTACTCCTACTTCCTCGGTCCCCGCATGGTCTACACCAGTGGTCTCTTCTCCGACCTCAGCCGCGAGGAGACTCTCGAGGAGATGCAGGACAACAAGATGGCCGTCGTTTGCGAGAAGCTCGGCCTGAAGGAGGGCGAGACCATGCTCGATATCGGCTGCGGTTGGGGCACCCTCGCCAAGTTCGCCAGTGTCAACTACGGAGCCAAGGTCACCGGTGCCACCATCGCCAGCAACCAGGCCGCCTGGGGTAACGACGGCCTCCGCCGCGCCGGCATCCCCGAGAGCCAGAGCCAGATCCTCTGCATGGACTACCGCGACATCCCCACCAAGAAGTTCAACAAGATCTCCCAGCTCGAGATGGGCGAGCACGTCGGTATCCGCAGACTCACCACCTTCTTCCGCCAGTGCTACGACATGCTCGAGGACGACGGCGCCATGTACGTCCAGCTCTCCGGTCTCCGCAAGGCCTGGCAGTACGAGGACTTCATCTGGGGTCTCTACCTCAACAAGCACATCTTCCCCGGCGCCGACGCCTCCACCCCGCTCGCCAACTACGTCGGCTGCCTCGAGAGCGCCGGCTGGGAGATCAAGAGCATCGACACCGTCGGCGTCCACTACTCTGGCACCCTCTGGCGCTGGTACCGCAACTGGCTCGGCAACTCCGAGACCGTCCACGCAAAGTACGGCCAGAAGTGGTACCGCATCTGGGAGCTCTTCCTCGCCTGGTCCGTCATCGCCTCCCGCCAGGGCAGCGCCACCTGCTTCCAGATGGTCGTCGTCAAGAACCTCAACGCCACCCACCGCATCGACGGCTTCTCTTCCCAGTTCGGCCTGTCTGGCGCCCTCGCCGCCGCCAAGGCTGCTGGCAAGGCTGTCTTCCCCCGGTCGACGTAATTGTAGAAATCACGCGACGCACCCTCCACTTTTTCATGTGTGAGAGTGTAAGAGTGTGAGGAAAATGGCTGTATGTGTCCATGAATGGAAATGAATGATTTTCCTCCCCCTCCCCTTTTGTCCTCCCGCGGCGACCCGACCAAGGTTTTTCTATCTTTTCTCTCATCTGGCTCCTGGGGCCGAGGGATGGCAAAACAAGAAGATGGGGCGGGGTGGAGGAGAACCGGCTTTTACGTTGTCATATTTTGGAGGTCGGGGCTTTATGATAAAAGTTTTTGATCCCATACACAGGCTAGATAGAGAGAGAGAGAAAGAGACGCGCGGGATGGTTCTGAACCCTCCCACAGTGCTCCAGTGCTAGAGTCCCGGTTTCGTTACCGGGTCCCTTAGATATAGGGGAGGAAAGATGTTCACGAATGTCGACATGTTGTTGATGTTAATGAGACAAAAGTTACTAGTTGATCCTGCTTCGAGTTGCTTCGCTTTTCTAAGTTCGGTGTATGCCGTTATTGTGATGTCTTCCATCTCGCTTACTCGGATGAGAGTCGTGATCCCCGGTTCTCCACTTTGATACTGTCCTGACCGAACTCTGCGTTCACAGATTGACTTCCTCACGCCTTCACCTTCTCTCTTCCTCATCGTGCCAGGTATGCCGCTCCCGCTAGTTCTTTTCGTCACGCGACCGTGTCTTTGCAATAAGCCTAGGAAGCCTAGACGGTCTTGTTGCGGTTGATGAGGAGATGTTTCTCCTTCGACGTCAAGAACTCCTCAAGGGAAGTAACCCCTGAAGACCTACAAGGTTCTTTCGTCGCAAGCAACCCGTTTCCTTTACCCATCCTCTCAAGTGAACTTGCTCGAGATGATGCCACTTTAACAGCTTTGTTTTTCCTGAAGATGCCGGCGGCTGGCTGTAGTGAATTCTTTGCGACCGGGATAGGTTGGCCGCTCTGGCATAGGAGGCGGCTGAGGAGGCCGTTGTGAATACCGGACCTTAAGCTACGCCTTTCTTCTTCGGAATCGATCGTCATAGATGAGGTTGATAGTGCAATCTAGGTTTAAAAAATACGAAGGCGTCTCGCATGATAATCATAAGCTAAGGTAGCATGCGTGCATTGACATGGGATTGTAGTAGTTGGATAACCCGTCGGCTTTGCAACGCTGATGCAGACAGCGCGCCTATCCAAATGGCGGCGTTTGCATCTGGAGGTTACTTACGAATGGCACCGAAGTTTGAAGTGCGACCTTATAACTTGATTGAACTTGTGGAAATTAAGTCTGCGGCTGTAGCGTTATAATTTGTACTTCGACTCAGCAACAGCCTCGTAATAGAGAGAACGATAGCGTTGGGGTTCTTGTAACGAGTGTGGGTGAACCGATCCGTAGACCACTGAGTAGAAGTCAGAAGCAGACCTGTGAATCTCAAGAGCACATGGTACAATTCCAACACGAACACATTAGAATATTCTAAACTCCACTTCACCCGGCTTAGTATCGAGGAACTCTCCATGCATGATGCCGTCTACATTTGCACCTCCTTTGAAGTAAAAGCCTCCTTCAACCCGCCGTTTTAGGATGATTGGCGAAGGCGCCTTCCAGATCAAGGCCACAACATCGTCGACCTCAACCCCAGCATGCCCAAGACCAAGCATCCCATTCGCTGTCTTGAAAAGTGTTCGGTTTGTGTTTTGATGAGTCAGATGATACCTCCATCTTTGCCCAAACAGCTCTAGAGCCTCGTCATCTATATTTCCGTCTTTGCTGTTGTCGAAGATGAACTTAACCTCTGCGCCGGTTAGGTCGGCGATCTTCACGTCCTGAACCCGCATGACTTTGCGAAGAAGCCCCGGGACTTTGCCTACCGCATCGAAGCCCTCCATGCTCGTACCGGAGCTCCAATCATTGGCGGGCGCGATCATCCGCCAAACGTAGTCTTCCTCGGGGCCAGGCTCCGGTCCGAGTCCTACAAATTCTGCGATTGAAAAGAACCAGTTGTCGGGGTCGTTCATTCGGGGCCACGAGTAGTCATCGGACCGAGTCCACTCGTGGGGTTTCATCACCTCGGTGATTCTATCGACATAACAGCCTCGCTGTAGGATGCTTGGTTTTACGCCTCTCACTACAGAGTACAGTGCCCTTCGGGATTGCCGTCTCGATGCAGTCGCGTTGAATCCTGTACCGTAGCTAATTGGCCACGTCACTAGGCCGTGTCGACCGATCTCTTGCCAGTCCGGAACCCACGTCGGAAGCCTACCGTTTGGGCTTCCCGGAGTGATACAGTCGAGGGTAAAGTTGGGTAATGTCTCGCTCTCGACAGGGTTACTCAGCATGGTTGCCGTGATTTCCACAAACACCTCTTTCCGCGTGATAAAGTAGTCCGCCCGGAGTACGTTCCTTTCGTGGTCTGCAAGCACACCAAGCAGCCCGAAAGCGATGTCTCTCGGATCCGTGGCGGAATAATGAGGCCGCTTTGGCGGTTCTTCCGCGGTCCACAGGATATCTACCAAGTTCACAATCAACCCCTTTTGGAGTTGACGCCGAACTCTCAGAGGTGTCAGATGATTGACACTTAGCGGAATATTTTTGTCGATCATGGAATAGAACGGACTGTTGTAAGGAATTATACTGCGCATCCTCCAGAGTAACTCCACGGTAGCGTCCAGTGCGTCAAGAGAAACACTCTTGCTGCCAGACATTACACAGGTCTTCCGGGCCAGGCAGACTTCTTGTACGATCCAGATGCGCTGCCAGTAGTCTCTAGCCAGGAGGTCGCGGATGCCTTTATTGATGGATGGTGACTTGGGAGCAAGAAAGTCACACAGGGTCTCGTACGCGGCCACTGGGAAGAATGGCAGGTTTTCCACCCCGCGTTCGTATGGAGTTGTGTCCAACCCGGAGTCAACTGGGATTCTTTCTGCCAAATTCGCCGGATCTCCCGGCTCGCGGATGAAAGCATTTGTTCCGATTAACTGACCGAGGTAACTTGCAACGTACCGGTAGAGCATTCTGTCAATTTCGTGGTCCGACCGTAGATCTTCAGGAAGGTACTTGAGGAGTCTCTTTCCTGTCCGAGACAGGAAATCCATGGCCGCGTCACTGTTCTCGGTTCCGGGACCCAGCCACATGTAGACCATGTCAGCGCCGCTATAGATGTCCCGCATAGCGTTGATCTGCCAGCTCTTCTCCTTCAAGTCAGTCTGTTTTATACAGATGGCATCGATCCAGAGCCAAGAGTCTACTGCGTTCATTCGAAGTTGCTTGAGCGCAAGGTGGAGGTTCAACGTGGCGTTGAAAGAGGCGCCCTCGATTTCGATGGCTGTGGTGTTAGTGGCGCTCCCCCACACGTACGAGAGCGCCGCGTATGACAGTCCCGGCTCATCTAGCGAGGCATGTTTGATGTCAAGTGCAATCGTGTTCTTAGCACTGACTTGTCCATCAACCAAGGGGCGAATTTGGACGAGCCTGATTTCTCGCCGATCTTTGTTGAGAGGAGCCTGGGTGAACATGTTTCGCGAGATATGAAGATGTCGCGATAGCGACCATGGAAGAAACGCGTTGGATTACAAATAGTCTGATTTCCGAGCCAAGAGTCGGCGATTCTTGTAAGTTGGAAGGATTTTGGAATGGGCTGAGAAGAATGTGGGGGAAAGGAGCTGAAAGATCCCTGGTGGTTCGCGAAAGGCAGCCTGCACCTTTGAATCACATGAGGCATATTTCATTGGTCGTTCGGCACGAACCAGTGATGTGAAAGCCTGATTTATCACGAAACCCCCTGTTCCTAATACTAAATCGTTTACTGTGGTAAATCTACCCTTGCTAGCCCGGAATCTCAGACAGGATATGAAAGCTTTCGAAGGACGGCATAGATTTCTTCAACAGTCGCTGCCGGAGTCTCAGTATCGCCTTGCTGTTCAGTCTCACCAGTCTCGTCACCATGCTTCTTCTCCACTTCACGCCGCTGCCAGTACGGAGGCCTCGCCTTGCCGCATCTCCTGTGTACCCCACCCCCAAGCCTCTTGAAGAACATGGGATGGCCCTCACTTGTTGGATTATCCGAGTATCCAAATTCTATGGAAGGAAGCCAGATAGGACGGGCCAAAATGTTTCCAGTCTTGTCCCAGCACAAGGGAATGTCCTGCTTTTGCGTCTCCATGCGTGACCAGCAGGCATAGCGACAACGTTGTCTAGCTGGCCATGGCAATGTATCACCGACGAATATCTCTTCGAGTAGCTGCCATATGCGACGTCGTTTGTGTAGACCAGCGGTTACATGGGCTAAATCAGTGTGATAGCCAGTCCCTGCCATAGTCGGTTTGCCTTGAGGGCCAGTGACACTGGGTGTGGCTCTGATAGTGTCAGGTACATCTGGGAGAACACCGTAGTCAACGCTCCGGCTGAGCTGCCGCACCAACAGCTCCCAGTCCCACTCGAAAGACTCACCACCAGGACAGGGCTCAGAGTCTTTGGCGTCGACGCAAGCTGGATCAATATCCCACAGCCAGGGAAGAAGACCGCAGGACCCGGCCTTGAGTTGATCCTTCCCTAGTCTCTGGGGCAATAGATGAGAAGACTCGGGAGGCATGTCGCGTCCCATGGCCGCGAAGATGTCATCAAGGATCTCGGTCGGTAGCTTGGAAATATTGTTGGCAAGTTCGGTACCCTTTTTGGTTCGAGTGACGTTGGATCGGCAGGCGCGTAAACTTTAGAGCAGACAGCTCGTCAGTCCCTCGATTTCTAAGGGGCTGCTAGCGAGAGTCTATAGATATCAATGATCAGAGAAGACGAAAAGAGCACAGCATGCACTTACGTAGTATAGATTTGATAGAGTAGAAGCATAAGGGCCAGGCCAATGCAGCCCAGAGAAATCTTCTTCTTCCCAGGTTGGCTCACCAGCCACGGTGGAATGAGGCACACAGTAGTTGTTGCGGCTGAGAGTGTAGTTTGCTTGAGGACGATAACCCCAGCAGCCTCCGCATTTGAAAGTGATGCTCTGCCTCCATCTAAGAGCTGTCCACAAACCACGCAGATCCCGCACATGCGTTAGCGTTGAGGATGCGAATACTCATTCAGCGATGTCCAAGCATTCGGAGTGGACAGCAGCGTAGATCTGGTCATCAAACGAGTACCCCTCGCTCCCTTGAAAGCTGACATGCTGTCGGCTACCGTCAGGGTCAACTCTGAGGAGCTTGGGCCCTTCATTTGCTGCAGCAACATGAACCTCGATATCTGATGCTTGGGATCTCGGCCGAATATCACTTGTGTTTGGTAGATCGTCATATCCTTGCAACTGGTGCATGAGATTTTCTGCGTAGTTTGGAAGGTTCCCAGACTCGTCGTCAGGGTCGCAAAGCAGACGGGCTTCTGTGAGCCATCTGAACATGTCCTCCAAGTTGCCGAAATCCTTCAATTCCGGAGGATTAACGAGTTCGCCAGTTTCAGTGTCCTCTAACAATGGCCCTCTATATAAGGTCCTGTGAATGGACAGGCCGCATATTTGACAGATCCATCGATCTTTGTCCATGCCTCTCGAATCCACGGTCGAGAGACTACCTGGGGTACGATGATCGATATGTTGAGAAGCCCAGGCTGAGGAACTAGCTATGTAAGAGTTAGGAGGAAAAAAGGAGATGCGCCGAACCAAGTATACACAACTCAAGAAATGTGTGTATCGATACACGATGGGAGGTACTGCTCTAGGAGTCGTAGTATCTCTTGGGAGAACTTAGGTCGAATCTTTCAATGTCCATGGCGAGACGTTTTGTGTAGATGGACATTGGAGGGAACAGGCACGAGCGGCCTCAGTTTCCCCACATGTTGTTCTGACTGTGATTCGTGCGCAAAGTAAGAGGCACGTATCCTGACAGCCAACATACTGTTGGAAATACGTAGGCGCCTTTCACCTTGCCATGTTTGTTTGGGGGCTACCGTCATTGTTGGAATGGGGTAAGTGCCCAACACCAACCATAAGGCCTCTGACATCAGCCAGATCCAGCAATCAAGGCTATGTCTAAGATCCATGGATAACCACTAACAAGAACTCTGAAAAGCTGTCAGTGTCTTGTCTGAGAAGTTTACAAATGCTCCCTGCAATTATAACGCTTGCGGAAGCTTTTAGTGAGATAACAACTGAAGTGGTTCATCTTTGGCCCCCATTCTGGATTGGCTGAGAAAAGACGCTCAACAATGGAGAACTCAGTGGCATTAGTTGTTCAAGCGTAAGTGAGAAACTTCCCTCCAGTACAAAGGAACTGTACTTCATGACTTTCTAAGGAAGTCGAATACAAATGACGCAGATTGGCTTCCAGAAGGAACCCGAGCATGTCTTTGCTTGCATTAGGCTATCGAAGTGAGGAGGCATGACGAGTGAGCGAGTCACTGTCGGGGAATCTTAGTTTGATGCAGGTTTCGTTTGAATGAGACGGAACTCTACGTTCTTGTTATATACTGGAGTTATTATGCATATTTCATCCAATTATGATTTCCTTTTTCGAAGTCCCGGAAGAACTCATTCGATGTATACAAAGCCAAGTCGCTGTTTTCCGCACCATCCTGGTACGGCATTGTATGGGTTTGGAGTCGAACTTCTATTAATTATAATCTCAGAAGAATAACATTGTCGCTCTAATCTTTCTATGCACATTGCACTGTTCCATCTTCAGGTGACATGATACTATCAGGTATACTGTACATACGACGGGCGGCGGGGAATCATGAAGTATCCTGTCGATTGATATCACACCTGATTATGACTGCAAGTCGTTGGTCTCCTTTGATCTGTTCGGAACTCAGCCATAAAGGTAACAGTTTGGATCACTGAATGTTTTCTGGGCTATAGTTGATGGCAGCTGAGTTTATTTGGAACCTAACCCTTGAAAAATACCATTGCAAAGCCCTGATGAGCACCCTTAGCAATTCCCTTCAGCTCTTGATGTGCTGAGCAGCCGTTGTCATAGTAATCCATGTCTTCTTTTGATGAAAATGTAGAGATAGCCGCAATCGTAAACCCTTGGGCCCTTTGATCAGCAACAGCTAGGCCGGCCTTCACTGAGACGATGTACGGCTTGCCATCCTACAACTGGTAAGCTCAGAGCTCATGATACGGTATCGAAACAGTGCTAGCCAGATGGAGATTGACTCCGTAAACAACAGCCCAGGTTGTTATACTCACTTTCAAGGCCTTTTGGGGCATCTGTTGGTAGAGCGACAATACTTTATTTTGATTCTCCTCGTCTGGAATCTTGAAAAGAGTGATTCTCGTAATTTGTTCAGACATTTTCGTGAAGCTAATGACTTGGGTCTTCTAGAGTATCAAATGTTACGGGGCAATTTGGTGTTGTTGTGTTGTGGTAATTGTCGTGTAATTCGATCAATAGCTGGCGTTAAGACTGAAACTTGGCAGACTCATCTTCCCCCAGATCGACTTTCTTGTCGGGCGTTTTTACACTCGGACAGATAACACAGAAGCCGAGAAACTTCCATTGCCGAAGATACCTGAACCGCCGGCAGCGGCAGATTCGTGATTGAATGAGGGGGTTGTTTGCATTCCGAGCCGTCGGAACCAAATTTCGGATTCTCGGAACCCACCATTTCGATGGCTGTCAGGGCGATCATGGAAATGTAAATAGAAGCATGTTAATACACGGGATCAAGCAAGCTCGAATTACTAAGGTATTCATTCAACAGAATTGCTGGAGACTTTCCACGTCTAATTGCGCAAGATGAAGTCCTGGCTCCCCATCCCACCCCGGTCGCACTTTTCGCTGCTGAACATTCCTTTCGGGGTGATTTCGAGCAAAGATAAGCAATTACACAGACCCGCTATCGCCATTGGAGAACACATCCTCGACCTTGATGCTTTTGCTACGGGCGGAGGTTTCAGTAAAGCAGCAAATGTGTCTGCCGAGCATGCAAAAACGTTCTCACAGCCCACCCTAAATGCCTTTGCCGAGCTTGGCCGACCGGTGCATCGCGCCGTCCGTTCATACCTCCAGGACATATTTCTCAACGACACAGCTCATCCAGACGTGTTGAAGGACAATGAACCCCTCAAAAAGGCGGCTTTGAGGCCCATTTCTGAGGTGTCTATGCACCTCCCGTTCGCCATTGGAGACTACACAGACTTTTTTGCGGGCAGAAACCACGCTCACAACGTCGGTGTCCTGTTCCGTGGACCAGCCAACGCCCTTCAGCCGAATTACAGCCATTTGCCCGTTGCCTACCACGGTCGTGCAAGCTCAGTCGTTGTCTCTGGAACTCCTCTAAGACGGCCTTGGGGGCAGGCGCTGCCGGCCCCTGGCGCAACCGAGCCCGTTTTCCGGCCATGTGCGCGCCTCGACATTGAACTCGAGATGGGCATGTTTATAAGCAAGCCGAACGACCTTGGTAGCCCGGTGTCTGTCAAAGATGCCGACGAGCACATCTTCGGCTACGTCTTGATGAACGACTGGAGTGCCAGAGATATCCAGCAATGGGAATATGTGCCCCTTGGTCCGTTCAACGCGAAGAACTTTGGAACCTCGATCAGCGCCTGGGTCGTGCTTGCGGACGCACTCGAGCCATTCAGAACAAAAGGGCTAGAGAACGAAACCCAACTGCAGAAGTATCTCCAAGAAGATCGGTCTGACAGCGTTCTTGACATCAAGTTAGAAGTAACTCTTGCTCGTAAGTTGGAACCTCCCGACTACCATACACATATGGCAAATGTGCTGCGTTAGGAAAAAACCAGGCTAATCTAACCACGCTTTTCTACACGATGCAGCTTCAGAAGGCGAGGAAACAACCGTTACTCGCACATCTGCCAAGAATCTTCTCTGGTCCTGGCCGCAGATGGTGGCTCATCACTCAATCTCTGGCTGTAATCTTCGTGCTGGAGACCTTCTCGGATCTGGTACCATTTCAGGGGACCAAGCAGGGACGCAGGGAAGCTTGCTGGAGCAATCTCAAGGAGGCAAAGTCCCAATCAAGCTGAATGGCGGGCAAGAGCGGAAGTTCATCCAAGACGGCGACACGGTAGTTATTCGTGGCTGGGCTGGCGAACAGGATGGTCAATTAGTTGGGTTTGGAGAGTGTGTTGGCCAAATACTGCCTCCAATTGCAATGTAAAAGCAATGAGAGGCCTATGAAAAATTGGCGATTTTAGAGTTACATAGTCAATACATCATGCCATCAAAGTCACATAATACCACAGCTGGGAAGTGCGGATGTTTAAGATGCTATATCTTGCTCATTTTTATCGAACAGTGATGGTCAGGCACAACCAACTGGTATTTTGCAGATTATAATACTGGATGTATTTTCTTCAAAACTGGTCATCAAGGGAAACTGAACTTCGAAAATTATGGCTGCATGACGAGTCCATTCCGAGAAGGTGGCCAATGAGCTATTGCATCGTTGTTCCCCAACTGCAGACATTTGGCGGGCTTGGGGCTTCCTTCGCGTTATGCAACAGCTGAGTCACTTAGCTGATAGAAGCTCAAGGTCTAGCTGAGATCTGATGTAACCGTATCTCCCCTCCTCTAGATGTCCACGCCCTGAACGTTGCCGTGTTCATGAGCCGCAACTTATTCGGAACCGTTTGTGTTCCGCAGTTCCGAGTGGACGCACGAATTGACTTCAAACACTGCATCTTGCAGTGAAAGTAATTTTCCGTGACAGTTAGTTCCGTAACATTGATTCCATCATGTCTCATTTGCCTTTCCCTTCGGATCACTGCAACGCGGGGTTGGTCGCTTCGACTGCAGCGGTGCTGTCCCAATGTGCGCATCCCAATCACACGTGCCACCCCAAACATGCAGATAACCAAGGCTTCTTATACTACATAAGATTTGCATTCGAGGGAGATGATAAGCGCTGTTTCATACCAAACAATTCAGGCATGCTTTCAAGATACATTCATTGCCTACCTTATCAATCTTCACGACTATAACTGTGTTTCGGGACTACGTTCCTCATCCAGCATACAACCATGCCTGTGACCAATTTCTCCACTGAGGAGAAGTACGAGTATCTCAATGGATTTGGGTCTCTTCATGAGTAAGTTCAGGCTTCTTGAATTAGTACTAGTGCCGAACTCCATTATTTCGTCAACCTGGTGCTGACCAACAATCATCTAGATCAGAAGCGATCAAAGGGGCTCTTCCTATCGGTGCCAATTCTCCACAAAAAGCGCCATACGGCTTGTATGCCGAGAAGCTATCCGGCACTGCGTTCACAGCACCTCGTCATGAAAACCTTCAGACTTGGCTTTATCGTATCATTCCAGCGGCCGCACACTCTACGTTCGAGCCGTTGAGGCAGAACAGACCTGACTCCGGAGGCAAACTTCACCAAATCCCGAATCAGTTGCGCTGGGATCCGTTTGACATCAACAATGAGACAGATTGGATCAGCGGCCTTAGACCAGTCGGTGGCGCCGGGGATCCCAGCATGAAGACGGGTCTCGGGATCTTCATTTTTGCTGCTGGTCGAAGCATGGATTCCAACATGGCCATGTACTCTTCTGACGGAGATATGTTGATTGTCCTCCAGCATGGTGTGCTTGACATCAAGACCGAGCTGGGCAACCTGCTAGTTCGTCCCAACGAAATTGCCGTCATTCCACGCGGTATCAGATACCAAGTCAACCTACCTAACGGACCAGTCCGAGGATACATCCTTGAGCTCTACCAAGGTCATTTTGTACTCCCGGAATTAGGCCCTATCGGTTCCAACTGTTTGGCCAACGCACGGGACTTTCAAGTTCCGACGGCAGCCTTTGATGAGGACGCAAGTCAGTGGTCAATTGTCAATAAGTTCAACGGGGATTTCTTTATCGCAACACAGAACCACACGCCATTCGATGTTGTGGCCTGGCATGGACAATATTACCCATACAAGTACGATCTTGGGCGCTTCTCCGTCATAGGCAGCATCTCATTTGACCACCCGGATCCATCCATCTATACGGTTCTCACTGGCCCGTCAGACCACCCAGGCACGGCTGTGGCCGACTTTGTCATCTTCCCGCCTCGTTGGCTTGTGCAGGAAGACACCTTCCGCCCTCCATGGTACCACCGAAACACCATGTCTGAGTTCATGGGCCTCATCTGCGGCGACTATGACGCAAAGACTGGTGGCGGCTTTCAGCCTGCTGGAGCAAGTCTGCATAACGTCATGTCTGCCCATGGCCCTGATGCTAGCACGTTTGAGCGGGCGTCAAATGCCGAGTTGAAGCCGCAGAAGATCGGCGAGGGAAGTATGGCTTTTATGTTTGAGAGTTCTTTGATGATTGGAGTGACGGACTGGGGCTTGGAAACATGTCAGAAGGTTCAGAAAGGATACAGCGAAGATAGTTGGACGGGACTGGTGTCCCACTTCAAAAGGCCAGAGTAATGTGTAGTGTCATAAGCGGGTTGAAATTCGTATCATTAGGGGCAACTAAATATGAAACAGATTGTATCAAGAGGTTGAGTGGACAGAATCCTGCGCCGATACATTGTATAAGGCAAGTGTTTTCAAGCGATATCGTCACTTGTTTGTGCCTTTATTAGTTCGCATGAGCTCTAAGTCTCTTTCCTTCAGAGAAACAGATTGGAAGTTGTTCAACACTAAGATGATGTCATGTATTCACTTACGCTTCATATAATATTAGCTGAAAGCGCACGGATTTCACCATACTTACAACCAGATAAGGGAGTATATATGGCTAGAATCCAATCTCAATTGAACACACGTATACGTTGGCCAAGGACGTACGGCACTACAGAGGTCTCCAAGCCAATCCTCCAGACGATGCTTTGATAGTAACGCAGAAGGTTGAAACAAATTGGCCGTATAAAAGACAAAAACTCATCATGAAATGACAGCTCCCTGAACCGACCTTGACGTTCAATTATCCCGAACTCCTTCCACAATATCCGATACTACAACTGGAACCTCAAACTTCGCCCGGCCTCGGATGAAATAATAAGCAAGGCCGAAGACTAACCAGCCTGCCATGACAACAGTAGAATAATTCATATTTTGGGCAGTGACCGGTTGCGATGAAGGGAAGGTGCTGAAAATGATGACAACAATCATCCAAACAAGACTGATCGCATTCAAGACCGGACCCACAACCGGGCCCAACCTGAAAGGCCCGTACTCCTTGCGAGTGAGCTTGCCCCTGCCGACGAACAACATATAAGCAATAGGAATACTGTAGGAAAGATAGATGCCGATAATCGCCATAGATAAGACCGCATTGAAAGCAGTAGTGTTAGCCAAATAGAGAAAGCCGAGAAGAATCTGGGCCACAGTAACAAAGACTATTGAAGTTACTGGGACCTGAAGTTTCTTATTGACGTAACTGAAATGCGAGTCGAATGGAACAGCTCTGTCTCTAGCGAAGGCCCAGAGCGTGCGGGAAGCGGAGGTAATGCCGCCTACTGTTGCAGCAATTGCGATCAAGATCACTAGGAGCGAGAGCACTGTCGCCCCCGCCCGAGATCTAGTGACATCGAGATAAATCTGCATGAAGGGGAAGCCGGTTGGTGTGGTCAAGAGGGAATCCAGTGACCCTGTCGAGAACAGGAGGACTGTGCAGTAAATGAAGCCCATCAGGCCATTTACAGTTACGCTTCCGACCATAGCAATGGGGACATTACGTGGGGCGTTGGGGATCTCCTCGGCCATGTGACAAGCAGCGTCGTACCTTTTATAAACCAAGTCAGCAACCTATTGCGAGACCATAGATGGAATGATAGTTCATAGAGGAGACTTACCCAAGGAAAGGATACACCGCGCTAATCAAGCCCACGAGCCACGACACACCATCATTCTCCCAGCCACTACTGTTGACAACTTGGGTGAAGACAAAAGACGCGGTGTTTTTGGGAGCCATGACGCCAAGGACTACCAGTATGACTACGAAACCCACAACGTGGAGAATGCCTTAGCGAGGTCAGCGAGAGTTGGCGTAAATGGACTTTAGTTTTATTCCTCTTGTCTTCCTTACCTGAGATCATGTTTGCGTGGGGCAGCATCTTTGACCCCCAGATGTTGAGTGCCGCTGAGTATAGGAGCACAGCCCAGTAGAACAACATGCCCTGCCATCGTGCCGGTATGTAAGAGTCGTCGTTGATGACAATCAAGGACTGGGTCTGCAGGCCAGCTGCAAACGCCGCTGATGCACAGAAGACAATGAGGCCGCCCACGGAGATCCAGCCGGTCGTGAAGGCTGCGAGTGATCGGCTACGAGGGGGACACAAGGCGGCCACCCAATGATACTGACCTACAATGGAGTGATTAGCTTTGAGAAGGTAGGAGCCAGGGTTTTCAGAGAAGCTTACCTCCTGCAGTAGGATAGATGGACGCAATCTCGCCAAGAGATGATGCTATGCACACAGAGCACAGAAAGGAAAGAACACTGAGCAGATTGTCAACCCATGTTCGACGACTTGAAAGTTCTCCACTGCGTGACAGACACAGAATAGAGTGGTTAAATAAACTCACAAGTTGTAGAATAGGCATGGCGCACCGCCATTGACGAGTGCTTGGGCAATGACAGTGGAGAGTGCTTCCCATGTTGCCATAAGACATAGGCATAATGCCCCCAAGGTTGTCAAAGAGAATTGCCGCTTCAGCTCCTGCTGGTGACCGAGTTGCGCGAGCCGTTCTTCATCAGAAAGGACAAGATAGCCGGGGATGCTATCAACTACCTTGAGCTGGTCGTCGGTCTTTGATTCGTTCTGGTCCATGATGGAGTTTCGAGCCATTCTGTCTGGATCGCTTCTTGCTGTTGGGTGTTTCCCATTCAACTTTGTTTGCTTTCTTTCTTATTTCTTTTCGAGTCCGGAACACGGAATTGGGGTACCGGACACGGCGGATGCAGAATTTCGAAGAGAAAGGGGATGTGACAGACTGATAGTCACGCGGGTATGTCGGGGATTGGGATTACCCAGCGCGAACTATCAGCACCAGTCTGGCTTTGATGATGCGGCAGCAGCGGCACAATGCCTAGCAGAATAACTATTGCTAATGCTTTGATCTTAACAGGCTCTTGGTGTTTCTAGTTGGATGGAAATCGCGTTCAGGGCTGAGAAATTGGTGACAATGCCCGGTGGCGGCGCTTGACCGTTCTCGTCGAGAAGCGAGATACTGGAGCATGGGCGATTTCCGCATTCCGAGAGAGGGCAGTTGGGGGTTTGGGGGTCACCAAATGCAACACGCCTCACAGACTCAGTAAACAACAATAAGCAGCCCCCTCCGTGATCGACGAGAGGCAAGGTCCTGATGTTGCAGAAGTGTTGGACACCTATGAGGAGTAAGGTAGGTACTTGGTCACCTGATTGGTCATTTGTGATAATGCCGGCCATCCTTGTAGAGAGAGAGAATCACCATATCTGCTGGACGTGTCTTTGTTCACTGTCTGACTCATGGCGAAAGATAAGGAACTGCTGCGATATCTTTACTCTTACCTTTGACACGTCTGTCTGCCGTATCTAGTTGTAGGTAGTTGAGAAAATAGGGGAATAAGTCCAAGCCACGTTTGGCATCCGACTTTCAAGCAAGGCAATGCCTGCTCATGCCATATTATCGGGCCTGGAGAGGTCCAAAAGTCCAGGGAAAGGTTCGGGAATGACACTGCTTGTTACTCGGAACCCCATAGCTTCCGCTCGGAACGCACCCCGCATTCTCTGCAAGCCATCCCGACGTTCCGTGCGGGGGTCATACTCTTGGCTGCATCTGCAAAGCGACCTGGGGGTGGGGAACGCGGGGAATTAGTGTACTTTGTAATAAACCAGTTCCGAGAGGTCTGTTTCCAGATGGCGTTTTGCCAGGAAGGACAGTACCGACGGGACCCGGCAGGAAAGCTTCTGAGACTCAGAGAGCGGCTCTGAAGCCGGGTAAGCACGGCGAGCTGGGTCTGTCCGTATATCATGGAGGTGGTGGTTAGCTAGCGAGTTCGAGTAATGAATCAGATTTACAACACAATTCATCGTCTACAACACGTTGAAGCACAGAAACATCTCAATTCGACGCCATGGCCATCTCAACTGCCGTCTTTGCTTTGAAGCAAAGGATATTTGACCACGCTCTGCAGTCGACTGCCATCTCAATTCTCCTCCTACCCCTCATCTACGTCATTGCAAATGAATTCATTCGCTCCAAGGCCAGGATAGCAAAACTAGACGGTCCTGGAGGGCTGCCACTCATCGGCAACCTGTGGGATATCCGGGTCAACGCGGCTGAGCAGTACCGTAAATGGGCCAAGAAGTTTGGCTCTGTCTACCAGATCCAACTAGGCAATGTTCCTGTTGTTGTCGTGAACTCTGCTTCTGCGGCCAGGGCTCTCTTCGGACAGAATGCTCAGGCACTCAGTTCTCGCCCAGAGTTTTACACTTTCCACAAGGTATGTAAGCAGATGATGACATAGCATGGTGTTTTAGACCAATATCTTGGCAATGAGGCTGATTGAAGGACTTCAGGTTCTCTCAGATACGGCTGGAACGACCATCGGTACATCTCCCTACAGCGACTCTCTTAAGCGTCGCCGCAAAGGCGCTGCTTCAGCCTTGAACCGACCCTCAGTAGCCACCTATGTGCCGCATCTCGATGTCGAATCGCGAGACTTCATTAAGGAGCTTTACGAATATGGAAAGGCTGGACAGGCTCCCGTTGATCCCATGCCAATGATTCAACGCCTGTCATTGTCCCTCGCCTTGACTTTAAACTGGGGTACTCGCATGAGCAGTCAGAAGGACAACCTCTTCAAGGAGATCACTCACGTCGAAGAGGAGATTAGCCGCTTCCGTTCAACTACGGGCAACCTTCAGGACTACATCCCTCTCCTGCGCATTAACCCCATCAACATGCACTCCGCCAAGGCACGAGAGATGCGCAGCAGACGCGATGTCTACTTGACCGCCCTGAACAGAGGTCTGGATGAGCGCATGGCGAACGGCACTCACAAGCCCTGTATCCAGGCCAACGTCATCATGGATAAGGATGCGAAGCTGAACCAGGCGGAGCTGACCTCCATCAGCTTGACAATGCTATCAGGAGGACTCGACACCATCACGACCCAGGTGGCTTGGTTCATCGCCATGCTTTCTCAGCGCCCAGATATCCAAGACAAGGCTGCGGCCGCAATTAGAGAATTCTACAGCGAGAAGCAACCTCTCTGCGACGCCGAGGACGACCAACAGTGCAAGTACATCGTGGCCTTGGTGCGAGAATCCTTGAGATACTACACTGTCCTTCGCCTTGCTCTTCCCCGAGCTTCGGTTCGTGATGTTCCTTACGGACAGACCGTCATCCCCAAAGGATCAGTCATCTTCCTCAACGCGTGGGCTTGCAACATGGGTAAGACATATACTTCACCTTGAGCCTCAATTTTCAAGTACTCCACTAACACCCCATAGACTCTGAAGTGTGGACCGACCCCGAGGTCTTCCGCCCCGAGCGGTGGTTCGAGCAACCTGACGCGCCGTTGTTCACATACGGCGTCGGCTACCGCATGTGCGCTGGCTCTTTGTTGGCCAACCGCGAGCTCTACCTCGTCTACATGAGACTTCTCAATAGCTTCAAGATTGAGAAGCACGACGATGTGGACCACCATCCCGTTTCTGGCAACGCCGATCCCACTTCCCTTGTAGCGATGCCTAGGCCGTACAAGGCGAGATTTGTGCCTCGCGATACTAGCACATTGAGTGATGTGCTAAAGGCGACCGAAGAGAAGGTCTAATGGGTGCGCTTTTGGATAGTTGATGGGAGATGGTGTAGATGAAAGTACTCGATGTGTATGGGAGGGGAGGTTAGAGGAGGTGAGCTTGACAGGAAGTTTCCAATTAAACAGGGGATGAATACCAAATGCAAGATTTATTTCAAGATCAAGATATATTTCTACATCCTCGGCACCCTAATTGTGAGCGAAGGATGACTTGACTCAGTTGAGGACGCTTTACCATACGTTAGAAGACCCCGAAATTCCAAGGCTCAACGCTTTCGTTCCTTGCTGTCCTGCTCACTGATAATGCAATCTTGCGACCCATTTTTGCCAGAGGTTGCGACGAGTAGCCGTAATTTTACATTCACAAAGACTTGTGCTGAAAAATGTCCTTGGTCGATTCCATAAGAGCAGTCTAAATCAAACCCCAAAAGTGACGTGAGATCTCCTCCTCTCCAGACAATGGTTGCTGCTGCTCGTTGCCACCCACGCAGTCCTGCATCCCATTTGCCCATATATCCTCCGTCTGCCCAAACGCGTCGAAGAGGAACATCAAGTCGTTGCTGAGAGCAAATGCATCTGGAGCTCCAGCACCGAACTCTGCACTCATACCCGTGGGTTGTACCGATGGCATCGGGGCAAACTCCGAGTCCAAACCAACAGCCGACGTGGGATTTTCTTCCTCAATCACAGTGTCCATGGGGTGAGAAGAACTGGAGATGATGTTCAAAGATTGTTGCGCGCCTGCATCAGCACGTCGGCCACCAGCGATTTCATCACCGCGGAGCCCGATGCGATGAGCTAGGGGCAAGAGACCCCGTATGCTCTTCCAAAGTCTGCGACTGGCTGTTCCCTGGCGAGAGAAACACTTGACGAGCTCCACCGCGGCGAGAAAGCTGTCTCTGCATGGTTCGGCAAATATTCTGGTGCCATGACAGACGGCAAGAAAGATGACCGCCAGAGAACTCAACAGGAAATAGTTGAACGCGCTCTGCTGCCGTTCGTAGATATCGCTCGTTTCGCTCAGATGAACCAAGACGGATATACTATCGATAGCAATATCCACGACAAGACGTGCCTTCTCGACATCAGCTTCGATGCTTGCAGAGCTGATGACATGATGTCGGTGTATCAGAGTTCTTATGTGATTGCCCCGCAGGTACAAGAGGGCTCGTAGCCGGCGGATGGATCGGGGCTGAGCTGTCGGTATACTGCCATGTTGCGGATGTCGTAGTTGAAGATCAGGGGGTATTGAGTTGAGCCAAGTTTGCGCTGTAAAGTCAAGGAACGCAACCGTGTCTTTTGGAATAGACTGAGATGGTGCGCTGAATGGAGGCAGAGCGTCCCATGCCTTGGAGCATAAACGCCCGTAACCTATCAAACAACGAAGGTACTGGAAATCTTCAGACTGGAACCCAGGTTAGCAAAGTAGCTTCTTACGAAATTGTAGGGTTACTCACTGGCTCAGGCAAGTTTGGATCGATATCTCGGTCAAACAGGGCAAATGATAGACTGGTTCCGAAACTCCAGCGACGATCCAATACATAAACGCACCAGAACACCCGCACTGCTAGACTCCGCGTCTTTGGGTCTGGAAAATTGTCTGTGAGACTCAGATTCTGATGTAAGCCCATCTCCAGAGATGCTCGCGCTGCGATGCCAATGTTTCTCCATGCGAGTAACTCCTCGTCTGAGAAGAAGTAGTAGATACTCTTTCATAGTGTCAGCCGCTTCCACTACCAAAACCACGGGTCTGTCGGACTTACAATCATAGCCATTATTTGAATGACTTTGAGGTCAGCCTCCGCATCGAGCGTAAGCTGGTAGATCAGATGTTTGACAGGTTCAACCAGCTTGCTGCTTGATAAGTTCTTGCCATGCGCCTCGACCACCATGCTTATGGCTATAGCTACTTTTGCGAGTATGACATCTTTGATGTCTACACTTCCGCCTGTCATGGCGCCAGGTGCCATGCAATCTGTATTTGCTTCCACGTACGCACGAATATCTGCTGCTTTCGAAATCATCTCACGCGTGTCGATAAAG